GTTTTATGTGATTTTCTGCGGTGAAATTGCGGGAAGTTGCAAAATATGCGGAAAGTCGCGAAAAATAATAGATTTTTTTAAAATATTGGGCTGTCTTATTTATTATCTCTCACACACACCCTGCCACTAACGTTAAACCCCTTTCCTATTCAATTAAACACATTCAATGTTTATTTATTGTAAAAGCAATTGGGCTATTTTAATCACACTCTCTCTCTCTCTCACACACACACACACACACACACACTTCTCCGCCTCATTCTGTTTTCATTTACTCGTTCGTTATCTGACCAGCTTCAATCTTGTAGGCTACTCACTTCGTTTCTTGTAGCCCTCGAAAGGGTTTTGGAGGTTGATGCCTCGGTGAACGTGAGTCGTTTGGCTTTGTTGTCCGCAGCAGCAGAAAGCATTTTCGAATGTTTGAATGAATCGAAGTGGGTCGTCACCGTAGACTTTCTCTGAGAAGTATGCTCCAACACACAGTTGCACGGGGTGCAGAATAGTTTCCCCCCACTTTCGTCAAAGACATCGGGGTACTGCTTTGCCCGGTCTTTAGCAGAAATGTTCGTCGTGTGAGTTCCACACGTTCACCCTACGGTGTTGTTTACCTTCTGTGATGCGCGAGCTGATGACGTCACATCATCACTACTTCACGTCAAGACAGTCTATGGTCAAGAAGAGTTAACTTTTTTTTTTCTCAACTTTGTGTGGAAAAATGCGGGGATTATGCGGCCTTTTGATAAATATGTGGCCTTTTAAAAATCTGCGCCATTTTGCTGATTATGTGGTAAATTCTGCGATCGCAGGATCGCGTTTTTCTGGAGGGTTTAAATGATAGTGTGCTATAGGTTTTGTCTGTGGTTCTGGGCTTAATTAAAACACAATGTGCTCAAATTGGCCACACACATTGCTCAAGTACCCACCTGTCCTGCCTTGGAGTACCAAGAAGCCAAACACAGTGCCGTTGTACTCGACTGAGTCAGATGAAGACTTCCTCAGTTGGGGCAGATTTCTATTTCAGAACTCCCTGGTTGGCGTGTCTATGATAGGGAGCACGTCACATCCAGATAATCCACTTTGGCATTGCAGACTTTTCCAAAATGGCCTCCTCATCCATTCCTACCTCATGAGCTTACACCTTCAGACGCTGTCACTAGAAGATTATCTCCAAGCCCTTCAAAATACGTGCCTTGGTTATCTTCCCACCTTCTTATGGAAAGCTGGACCATATTTGTCCTTATGTAAACTTCTAGATTAAAAAGTGGATCATCAGAAGTCTCCTGGGACACTGGCTGTTAATGTGGAAAAGCGGTTGGATTTTCTTTCTACCACTTTGAATTCTTAATATAACTCTGCATCTTCTCCTTCACCTCCCTGTTTCTCTAGGACTCTGCTTCATATCAACTTCTTGTCCCCTCTTATCATGGTCCTGCTGTGGGTGAGGCCCATTACCAAGGACTACCTAATAAACCCCTATCTGGAAAAGGGGAATTTGCCTTTGTAAGTAAAATGAGTTATTTGGTTGAAAATAAGTGTTTAATGGATGATTAAATGATCGATGAACACAATACTGCAAGTGCTGTTGCCATTCTGACACATGTCTTGTTCACACCGCTTGTGTTTTTTATTTACTATAATTCTCCTGCTCATGAATATGATATGTTCTCTGTGCTGTGACGAGACACATTCTTGCGTGTTTATATAAATAGCCATAGTTAGTGTGCTTAAAACCAAAAACATTTGCTTGGAAGAGAAACTTTTTTTTAGTTTTTAACTTTTTTTGAATGCTGTTAATAACAACAAATGTATTTGCTATATTACTAATTCTAATAAGTGAGCATAACTAATAAGCCTATGGTAAAATGGTTTGCAGCTCAAGCAAGATTGCCATACATTTTTTTTTTTAAACAACAGTGTGCTGATAGTGTTCTGTTGAGTGATCTTGATAGGCCAGTCAGTTGGACTCCCTTTATAGCTAGCTCGCTAATTAGCTGCCATTCAAACAGGAGGGGTAGGACAACATTGGCCAGCTGTGAATATAAAAGTGATTGTGGCTCTTGTGTAGGAAACTGGATGGAAACGATGCAACAGCAGTCATGAAAATGAGATTTACAATGGTTCAATGAGATAAGAAATGTGTTCAGCTTGGAGGTGAAATGACAATACACACATTTTCTACTTGGGTTTGATTAGAGTGTGAGCAAATGTAGTCATACCTCAGTGAAAGCTCTTTATTGTATCACTAACTGCTGTCATTTGTTAGCTGCCTTTTCATTCTAACATTACTTCTTTCATTAGTTGTAGGTTTGAATTCTGTCATGTGCCAACTTTTTTCTGCTGCCAGCAGTGACTGTGACACCATCAAGGTCAAACACCATAAAGCCAGATTTCCTGATACAATATCCTTCTGTTCCTTTTTTCTCTCTCCATTCCACCCTCTTTTCCTTCTCTTTTGAGTTTGATATGAATCATTTGCTCTTACTATCTCTCATTGTCTCTGCGTATATATCCAAATGATGGAGCAGATGCATGATGCGTTGAAAGCTGCCATCCCTTCATCATGTCTCCTCACGCTCCTGTCTTTCCATTATCACCAGGATGACGGAGGATACGTATGATACGTTACGGTTGTGGGCCATCATACTGATGTGTGTGCTCCGACTCGCTATGATGAGACACCATTTACAGGCCTACCTCAACCTGGCCCAGAAGGGTGTGGACCAGATGAAGAAGGAGGCGGGACGCATAAGTACCGTTGACCTGCAGAAGATGGTGAATAAGAGGATGGATTTATTTAGAAACACAAAAAGATAACTTTATCCCATTTAACACATGGCACACTTTGGATGGGGTTAAGAGGCAGAGCTGTGTTTAGACACACAGTGAGCGTTTAGATGGGGCCACCTTGCTGCCTTTTGCAGGGTTGGAGAATAAAATAAGCCCTTTTACTTAGAGCAAATATAGACACATCCAGGGGCCTGTCTTTGTGAATTAAGGAACAAAGTCTAAAACTGTGCACAGGGCATGCATTATGCAGGAGGCATGCAGCCCACCTGTAGTGCACTTGGAAATAGGATACATTATCAGTGAGTGTGTTGTGGCCCAATGCGTCAGCTCCTGCTATCATTGCTTTCAAAAGCCCCTTCCCGACATAAAGTACTGACTGTTTGGTCTAGTGAAGACAACCATAGCCTATCTTATAACTCGTATTGTTGTTCGCTATGTGCACAAATACTATTATACATTAAAGTACAAATTAGATGATGTGGTGCAGCAAACACAGGTGTGCTGTGAATATTGTGTATTTGAGATGGATTTAATTTCTAGGCTTGGTAAAAGGGTCTCTGTAAATAAAAAATATCAACAGATACAACATATTTAAAACTGTTATTGTCCAGTAGGGCTGAACGATATGGAGAAAATCACAATATTTTTGACCAAATACTTCTGTTGAAATTGCGACTACTGTATATAGTGGACTGATTCCTCTGTTGTGTTGGATCCCATTCCTCACATAAGTTGATGTTTGAGGAGATATCTGAGTGTCATTATGTTCTGGTTAACAGTTTGTGTAAAACCACACGGTAATCTAATTCTAACTCTCCACCCTCACCCAGGTTGCTCGTGTTTTTTACTACTTGTGTGTAATCGCACTACAGTATGTGGCACCGCTGGTGATGCTGCTGCATACAACTTTGCTGCTAAAAACCTTAGGTGAGTCATGATCAGTCATTTATTTATTTATTTTTTAATTTGAAATATCTCTTACCTTCCATAAATGGTATCTAATGTCATCCTTTGTCTTCCAGGTGGACACTCCTGGTGGGTCTACCCTACAGAGGACCTGCCTTGCATCTATGAAATTAACTCTGACTCTGTGATGGGGGCGGCCCCTGTAGCAGCCCCCCCACCGGCGGTAGAAACAGCAGCCCAGGGGTCTGTGGCCCAGCTGTCGGTGGCCCTGGGGGGCCTGCGGACTGTCTTCAGCCCCTTGCTTTTCCGTGGCCTCTTCTCCTTCTTCACTTGGTGGGTTGCTGCCTGCCTCTTCTCCACCTCCCTCTTTGGTCTCTTCTACCATCAGTATCTCATGGCGGGATAACCCCCACCCTGTGTCGGGCCCAATCAGAAAGGACTGAGTAGGAAAACAGAGGCCTAATGATGACACACACACACACACACACACACACACATCCTCCCTTCCCTTCCTCTGACCAACTAAACCCTGACTGACCATATCATCAGAGCTCCTGGTTCAACTTCCAGTGCTTCCTCCACAGACGACTCTGTGAACTCTTGTCATTGTTTTTAATACACAACCATTACCTTTTTATTTTGGAAAGCAAGGTTTCTAAACCCCTAACAGACTAAATCGGGAGTTGGAAGAATTGTAATATGTGTCATTAGTGTATTGCCATAGTAATGAGAAATTGGTCCAGTTTGCTGTGTGACATTTTAATCACATGAGGTAAAGTAATATATCTCAGACGCTGATTACAATTAATTTAAAATGTGGTGTGGCATTTCTCCTTAAATCCACCAGGGTCAGGAGAGATTTTAATTCATGACATTTTTTTCACAACTGATTTCATGTAACACTCTGCAAGACTGGGTCCATGCTGTTTAAGTGTTATGGTTTGGTACGTATGTGCGGGGCCTTGACAATGAGAGTCAGTCAACTATCTATATTCCAGTCTGTCATTACAGGCCATAATGGGGCTTATTTCCCTGAGTGATACAACGTGAAGAAGCTCCATAGAGGTCACAAATAACGCGTTTGTTTGTGACTTCATTTGAGCCTTAAAATCACATTTTGTTATTGTATGTTTTTGGGGAAAAACAATGGCCGACGTACTTGTGCCCCCCGTTTGTCCTTTTGATCAAAACTTAAAAATATGTGCGTTGAAACAAAATTGCCTGTTTTACTAAAATGTCTAAATTTGATTGCCACGGACCTCGATAGTGTCTGGAATAGTCTTAAAATGTTGTGTCAAGGACCAGTACGCCTCAGTTTGGGGGGGGGCTGTTCTCAGCTAAAAAGGGTCGGAGAGTGGACTTCTGAAGAACTGCAGAGGAGGAAGAGGAGATGTATAACTCATTGACTTGAAACTGATGTATTTAAGTGTTTTTAAACTGCGTCGTAACCTTCTTGGTTTTAACTGAGCCATTTTAGAGTTTATGAGATTTATTCTTTTTAACAGCAGAGACGATTCAAAGGGAGGACAGCACTAAGGGCTCAGCCCAGGTTTGTGCTGGTTTCCATGTGTCTGTCTGCATGTACAGGATCTCTGCTGTAGGTCAGCTGTAATCTAAAAGGGCATTGTGATCAAGAGGAGATGATGTCAACTACTGTTGGTGAACTACCGCCTTTATGTTCTGCTTTCCATTCGACATGTTACCCATCCTTTGCTTTTTTTTTAACTCATTTGAGAACAGCTGTTTTTATTCTTTTTCTAATGGATCAAAAGTTGTAAAAGTGCCAAGTGAGTCTGTTCCCCTGTCCGGATGGCTATAGATTGGGTGTCTGCTAGTGTTTAAACCTTTAACTGACTACAACTCTGCGGCCTTCTTTCTTCTGTAGTTCCATCTCAATAAAGAGGGGAATCTCAAGCCCTGGTTTCCATCGAGACATAACAGCATTTACAGTGTCTTTGCATACTGTAATTATTTGGTGGGTAAATGTCTGCACTAAGAGTCAAAGGGCCTATGATTGTCCAGCCCTTCCAGGAACGTGGTGCCAGATGAATTACAGATCACACAATCTGGTGGCATTTAATGTGGTCATTATTATATCATAGAGCTGTAATTTCTGAATTGCAGCTCTATGAGTTTTGTACAGGACATATTTTACAACCTCAAGCAGCTCTATCTCATTTTTAGCTCCTGATGTCAAAAGTCTTAGAAATCGTTTTTTTGTTTGTTTTTTTTTAAAGATGGGGATTATGCACATAATGAATGTATCCATCCTGCCTAATTTCTAGATTGTTTTTCATGAAAATAATTTGTATGGTGAGTTGATTTAACACCTCTGCACTTCCTGAAGTCTTTCCTCGTCTACTACCATCTTTTAATCTACCTTTCAAGCTAAATCTAATTTATCCTAATGATTATTTTTGATTGATTTATCTTTGTTTTTGTATTTATTACACATGCTGAGGCCTGTAAACATTTCTAATTTTAACAGCGAACACATGATTTTGTTATTTGGGGGGCGGGGGGGCATGATGGCTTAAATCAATTTTGAAAAAAAACGTGTTTGACAAATCAGTTACAGATTAACCTTTTTTTTAATTGTCTGGTCCGTTAAGAAGTAGCTGGGATACTTTCAGAATTCAGTGGCCTGATGAGGCGATGTTTCTTCTGTTTGTTACCACTGAAGTGTTTATAATTCATTGTTGAGTTCACAAAGTAAATTACACACATTGTTCTTTCATGTATTTATTTCTGTTCTAGATTTCCTCTTAAATAAATTATGTTCTTTACTTTGTCCTTTTTTATTTTTGTATCTTCATGCTCTATGAGTGGCTTTACATAGGGCCTTAGCAGTATCGACACAAGGAGGTGGGTTCATTTATAAAGCTGCAATCATTCTGGACTTCAAGTAAAGTCAAAGGAATGATCTAAAGTCCTTTTTGTTTTTACTTTTGAATGATATGCTCCAAAGTGGGTCAGCTTACAATCATGAGATGCTGCAAAGACAGACTGCTAATGTTATACATCCATTTTCAACACATCAAAATGACAGCAAACTAGTAGTCCCATTAAATGTGAATGATACTCTGGCCCATGCAAGAGAATGACTCACAACTTCAGAAATAATCACCAAAGACTTGTTGTAAAATAGTTCATTGACTCAATGTCTCTCTTGTTAGATCTCTTGTCTTTCCTTTAAATCATGCCAAGAAAGCTTAAAGTCCTTGACTTGTGGTTCAAAACAGTAAGCGTATCATTTGGCATGTTGTGTGTTACAAAACTGTTCACTTGTAAACTGTGCTTTGTTCAAATCTAACATGACAGCTGTTTTTTTTTTACAGGAAAGAAGATAATGTGACTGATTTTTTTTTTACAGTCAGAATGTAAAGAATAACTGTCCAATAAAGTGGTTTTAAAATATGTGTTTGGCCTTTACTGCAGAGCTGCTTCTTGTGGAATGGCCTTGAATTCATGCTGAAAATTGCTCGAAGGAAATGATATGCCCTGCACACGGGTTGGACCGTGAGTTACAAAATAGGTCAACACAGATGCCCCTTTCTTAAAACCCTAGTGCTTTATTCATCATTCTTTACAGTGGCTCCTATTTGGGTCTTCAAGGTTGAAGGCAGATTATTTTCTTTTGGATTTAGTAGTCTTTGAATAATGGTGCTCAATAATACTGTAATTGTGTGTCATCAGTCTACTTGTGAAATATCTCCTCTTAAAAACTTGTATTGATTTAGACACTCAGCAGGCAGCAGCCATCGATTTTTGCTTTTCTTAGTTTAGCTTCTCTATTCTTGTGGGAAAGGTTAGTGGAGTAGATAGGGGGATAAAACGACAAACGCTCCCAAAACTCCTTAATGCGCGCCATTCTCTGGGAAAAACATCGGGCAAGTTAATACAGGCCTCAAGTGCCATTGTCCACATGAGCGAGAAAACTGGGCCAACGCATTCATTCATAGGTAGACAGATCAATAAGACAGCTTCCAAAACAAACCAGTGGAGAGGTTCCTTTATTCCTCTTGAGTGGGGCCTATTCACCAAGGTCCCTTCTTCGTAGAGTGGCGTGGAGCTCTGCCTCAGGAAGGGGAGCAGGGACCCCTCCCCCCTTTAGCCCAAACACAGCCAGAGGAACTGAGAAGCTTCTGGAGGGCTGACGCTTTAATAGTGGGCTTTCTGCGTGACACAGAGGTGATCCCACCCTCATGGTTATTGTTCGAAGCAGCAGCCATACTTCATGACTGACCTGACCTTGTGTCGTGAATGTCCTAAAAGAGAACACTTAACATTGCTGGAACTCCTCTGTGTGTTTTTTTTTTACTTTTTTTACTTTCTTTACAATAGTTACTTTAAATTATGACAATGATAGGAACAACAGAAACAGTCCCCTGCAGTATTAGGTGCCAATATCAGATTTGTTAACTGAGATTATTATAAAGCAGTCACCTTAAATGTAACACGTGCAATTATCATCCTTTCATTACCATGACAATAGGTGCGAGTGGGGGTTTGAAAATACTGACATTTCGGAAGATTGTTATAAAGTTTATTTATCAGAAATTGTTTCCACAAAGCAGCATTTTCAAAAGAAATATGTAGTGACACAAATATATTATTAAAACAACAATTTTGTTTGGGAAAAGTTTATTGAAAGGTAGTAAACACAGGACAAATTCCCATTGTGTTGAAGTAACACATTCAATTAAAGACTACATTGTTTTATGAAAGGCAGTGAGATGCCTGTGTTTAAAACATGAATAAAAAAACAAATTATGTACATTAGAAAATACAACTTTTATATTGTTAGACTGGGTCAGGTGTATCAATCAGTGTTATTTAAAGCTGTGGTTCTCGCATACAAATACAACGTAACACATAGAAAGCAAAGATACAGGAAACATTTAAGACCATTTGTCCATGTTATCCCTGACACACACACACACACACACACACACACACACACACACACACACACACACACACACACACACACACACACACACACTGATGCTGACCCATTCATCATTCACATCCACGCATATGGGTAATATTGTTCATCTATAAAGCTGTATGTATAATGGCCTAATTGAGTTTAACGTGCTCCAGTTATCAGTGCAAAGCAGGGGAAAAGAAACAGAGATTCTCGCAAAGCAAAGTACATTTAAATCTCGTCATGGTTAAAATTTGAGGTCCACCGCCTCGTGCTCGGAGTATGAAATGGCTGACTGCCCTGGTGGTAATCACCACTGCTCTTACATTAATTCATCTCCACATGAACATTGTTCCTTTGGGGTTTCCATGCTTCATCAGCAGCCCTCTGATAGACATTATACACACACTGCTACTGTATAGCTCTTTTAAAGGCGTGTGTGTGTATTTAGCACTTAAATGAATTGCTTTTCTTCTACGCTTAATGTAAACCAACAGTGACACTTCCTCTCTTTATTTTATAAACTCTGTATAGATTATATTTAGTTTTATTAAACCTAATACATGTTGGCCCTTTTTATAAAGTATAATGAATTGAAGTGAAATGAAATGTAGTGTGATGAGAGTGCAGCTCAAGTATCACACAGTAACAGGAGGTGCCTTCATGAAAACACTTGCTTGAACACTTCCTCTCATAGTGAGCAACCATATTAATATCAATGTTCTCTTATTGCATCCATAAGATGCTTTTAACGTAGCTTTGTACCTCTTCAAATGGGAATATTCACCCACTAAGACACATTGATTTCCCTGAGTTTATGTGTAAACTGTGATTTAATTAGAAAGCCCTGCTTAACTGTTAAACAAATATTTAGCCAAGCAGAACCACAGATTAATGGTTTTACAGTGAAAAAGTAGGACATAGAGCTCAAAGAAAGCTGCTAGATTTCAAAATCAACATGAATGAATACATTAATTATATATATGTATTTTGACTCCTGCTGTGTCCTATTTCTCCTGCTACTGTAGATGCCTCCTTCAGAATAACAACCAACAGAGTGGACTGCCCCCTAGTGCCACCGGCTGAGTGTGACAGCGTGCGGAGGGGGAGGGGGGGTGGGTGCCTGGTGCTCTGAGCATTAGCAGAATGCCATCGTCTCAGTGCCATCCAATCAGAGAGCGACTTGGTAACGTGTTCATACATCCAGTGGAAATTGGTGGCGAATGCAAATGCTCCAAGATCAAGGTTTCTCATTGGCAATAGTGAAGCACTTGTTTCTCTCCTTTCATGTCCGAATGATGATGGTGATAATAAGAGGCCTCAGATTGAGCCAAAGGGGGAACGAGCATCGATGAGATCTTTGATATGGAATGCTGCATCATATGATATTAGTGTCATTCAGTGTGCTGTTTGATTGACAGTTTATTAGAAAAACTGGGAGGAATGCACCATTGTCCTCATCCATTTTTCATTTTCGAAGTGGGGACACTTTGATGCACTTTGGTGAGTGTGGTGCTCAAACTAGGACAAAAGAGCTGCAGCCTACATCCCATTTTTTCTTTGCCGGGCTTCTCTCCTTTCTATTCTAATAGAATACAGTAAAAAACATATTTCTATAATTGGTTACTTTGTGGTTCTACGCTCTTGCAAATGTACCTAAATATAAACAAACACATGCGTACATGGGTCCAAACATTACAACAGAAACCTGCAATCATTTTTGCTCGAGGTTCCTGTTGTTCTGCGTGCCTCAAGGCCAGCAGACTTAATTTTCAGAGTTATATTTTATTAGGTTGATGATGCACATTGCATTCACGGAGCACTGCAACCTCCAGGTCCTCCCACACATTGCCGTAAAGACAGCCTCTGTTCCTAATTACCGCGATGTAACTGCGCTGTTTTCAGGAAACTGATTGGAAATGATTGGAGTGAATGCAGGAAATTGGGAACATTACTCTGGATAAAGGGAGACATTTAAGTCACTTAGCTTGTATCTTAAATGTCATGAATGCTTGTTTCATGATTTTGAATACTTCCTTACAGCTTAGTTCTGATGATGTTAATATTCATGCTGTGTGTGGTGCAGTGGCGAACCGTCAGGGCCTTCAAGGTATTCAGAGAATACCCTGGAACACTCAGATAAAACAAACAAAAAATAGATTTAATTATATAAATAACACGTAATACACCAACTTCGTAAACTGAGACTAAAATTCATTTAGTAAACAACGATTAAACCCAAAATAGACATAAATCCTTCTTGTATCTGTAATGGTAGTGGTTCCCTTTAGGTCACCTGATCCGTAAGGTCTCAGTTTTCACAGTGGTTGTGGTCGACAGATAGTGTTGACTGTAAAGAGATCTGTGTGTGGTGGTGGTGGGTGGCGGCGGCGGGGGGGGGGGGGGGGGCCGCGCAAGCTTACAGGCAGAAAAAACAGACTTAACAGCAGAACTTTTCCCATGAGGTGTTGTTAGGGCGTTGTTGAAGTACGGAAGTGGACAACGTGAACAGTAAAGTTGCAAATTTTGTTATTTTGCCGATACTTACGAAGCAGCGTAGATCTAGTAGACAGAGCTCGGTCACTTTGATGCGCCCGGATCTCATGGGACCTTAGCTTCCCTTGAGACTTTCTTATGTCCGGTAACCGATGTTTAGTTATAAACTACCAACTAGTTTTGACAGTCAGGTTTACAATGAGAGAGTAAGCCAACCGTTACCGGTCCCGGTAAGCTAGTTTCCCTACAATCTTATGGAACCAACTTCCTATAAGATGGGTCTCTGGGTCTTTGTTCTAGACAAAACCAACGAAAGAAAGATTGTGTTTTGGTGACTTTACGCATCACGTACCAGGGCTCTTCCTGTTTGTTTAGTTGACATTATG